TCAGTTTGGAGTTGCTGTTGAAAGATGAGTTACTCCTGTGATAACCTGCAGCAGTGGTAATTAAGAAATTTAATGGTGGCGGGGGGGGGGGGTCAAACATACTGAGTGGAATATCAGTACTACACTACATTGTACACCTGGGATAGAAACAGCTGCTGAAATCCATGAGGTTATCCTTAATTCTTGCATTTTGAGGGAATTGTGAAAAAGCTATCACTTGCCGAATGCCCTCTCTGCCTCCAAGTCCGGAGTGCTGTTGCCTCTGCCAGACAAACCACCTGTAAAGTGCTTCTGCTTACTTCTGTGGAATCTTCATCAGTCTCCAGAGTGAGGCATGGTCCAAACAAGTCTTTTGCATGCTGGTGATATGGCAGAGAATGAATGGTGTAAATGTCAAGATTATGAGCAGTAGTGCAGCCAAATGATGACTGCTTGGAAAGAAAAGACCCTACAGACAACACATGGGTTCTCTCAAAGACAGTGTGGCTCAACTGTTCAAGAGAGCCATTCAGAGGCACAAGCATTCACCTTTATGTTCAACATTGTTATCTCTGTCCCAGGCACTGCTGGGAGGCCACAGAGGCCAATCCTGCTTTTTAAGACTACCATGTTTTTTCTTTTTTTTTCTAATGTTTAAGATTTTAGTATGTTTAAGCACAGAGGTGTGCTTCATAAACTCCTTTGCTTAACCAGAAACCCCTATCAGTGTTTGTGATGATAGCAGAGCTCCCACAGTGCCCAGGACGGACACTGTGGCAATGTCTAAGTGATGGGAAACTGAGCAGGATTGAGAGGATTACAGAGGCTGCTGGCCAAGAAGGTGTTGTTCACAGATGTGCACTTTGGGGTGTGACTAGGGGAAACATCCTGAGAACAACTATCCACTGCAGAGATACATGATATGTGAGCAAGTTCAGATTTTTCTGGAACCTGAACTGGATCTGTTTTGCAACAGACTGTCCATCTAGGAAGGGACAGGGAACCAGCTTTTAACATCATTCACAGTTCAAACAGAAATTCAGTATCCCCCAAGCCTCGTCTAAAATTGAAAAGTGCCTCCAAAGGAATTGTTTGTTGCTTTGTTTGCAAAAAGTGCAAACAACACATCAGAGAAGCAAAAATGCCTTGGTGGATTGTTTGGCTGCACACTTAGTCAGGGTATATTGTAATGAGCCATATGCTAGCTTTGCATAGTATTATGGGGTAAGCCAGCTGCAACGAGCAGCTGATTAGTCTGGTTGGAAAAAAAATCTTCGTTTTCCATAACAGGGGGCCAGCAAAGGCAAGCATTCTGGCAGATACTGTCAACCCTCTAACTGCTCCTGTCATCGTGCTGTGGACCAGATGAAGTTAAGAGATCAAGAGAACCTCTGCTTTATTTTCATCCTAAAGGACAGACCCCTTCTTAGCCCTGGGCTTTTTTAATAGTAACGGGTTTTATGAACCACAACCCCTTTATATTCTTGTGGAAGAGAATCCCACCACTTTTCCACAGCTGCCATTCTCACTGCCACAGTCAGACTTCAGTCTTTTGCCATTCAGTGTTCAGCATTCAACACAACTGATGTGGCAGAAACCTCCTGTGAGCTAGGGAGTGGAGGTCACAAGAAGATGGGAACCTGATGAAGTGCAAGATTGCAAAAGTGGCAACAGGACTGCAAATGTCCTTTCTGGCCCAAATGCCATCTCCTGCTGTGGCCAAAAATTAATGTCTACACAGAGGTATCACAAGAGAAGGTAAATATTTCCTTCAGATATCAGCTTTGAACAATTTGTCTCTGGGGGGCTTTTGAGAGTCAGAAGCGTTTTCTTTTTTAGATAAACCTCAGAGGAATTTTGTACTTTTTAGTACTTGTTGATCCCTCACTAGGACCCACTTATCTTCTGTCATCTACAGCAGCCTGGCTACAGAGTTTCATATCTAACTCACGCTATCTATTAATGGATGACCTGAAACTTTCTCCATCAGGAAGAGAACTTCTTTAGGTCTCATCTGTGCCAACTGCTGAATGAACAATTTGTGTGGACATCTTTGAATGGGTAAGCAATCCCCAGCCAGAAGACAGGAACATCAAAAGTTCTTTTAAGGTCTTTTTTAAAACTACCATTGCATGTGTTTCCAAAGAAAAATTACTGGCCACTATCATAATCTACTACAAATGAATATAGCAAATCTGATAATAGAACATCAGTGACTCAGAATGAGTTTTTAGTGCTAAAACTCTAAGATATCTGATTTTTTAAAAATTTTTTGTTTATTTGTTTGATTCCTAGAGAGGAACATAGCTTAAGGTTATCCCTTTGCATTTACATATATCTATTGCTTTCAATGCTCTGGGTCATCATTACATAGAGACAGAACAGGGCAGAATGTATCTGGAACTATTATTTCAGAAAGGGTGAAAAAGAAGCCACGCAGCTGTCTCAGTTTTGGGTTGCCCAGATAAATTTGATGTTTAAGTCTCTAATGGCAACAAACCCATGAAGCAGTAGTAACAGAGAGAGGGTTGGGAGCAATGTGGAAAAACCTAAGAGACACCATATCTATGACTAAGATGCCTGATGTGGTCTCATTAAAAGAAAAATTCCCCACAGACAGGATTATTAAGAGTATTCTTATTTGACATGGTTATTAATGAGGAGGAGGAGGGAGCAAATTGTACATTAATGAACTTCACAGAGAATAATTCTCTAGGATGATCTCAGGGCTCCAGCAAGGCCATATCACTGGCTAAGTGGAGTGCAGTGCTATTGTTGACTGAAACCTCTAAACATTGCATCCAAGCCTCTCCAAAACCACTGACCTCATGGGACGGTGGCCTTTCATTGCCAGTGGGTATAACTTGTCATCACTGCCTCTTGTCCTGTTGGAAGGCAGCACTGAGAAGAGCCTGGGCTTCTCCTCTTCATTCCTTTCCATCTGGTTATTTACACTCATTGTGAAGTTCTTCCCTAAACCTTCTTAGCTTTAGGCTAGACAGTTCCAGCTCTCAGCTTTTCCTCTCATGACAGATACTCCAGTTCCTTAATCACCTACATGGCTCTTTGCTGGACTCAATTTGGGAAGCAGCAGCACAAGAAGAGACAGCTCCCTAACAGCTGTTTTCCCTAGGCACAGGGCATTGTTGCAAGGTGTTGATATGTGTAAAGCCAAGGCTGTAACTTCTCTATGGTCGGAACTGAAAGCTGAATCCGAGGTATTATCTCAGCAGAAGTGTGGCAGGAGTAGAGCAGAAGCATCATCTGGAAGGCAGCACCCCATGGAGGTGAATACAAAAAGCTGACGATTTTTAATTGCTGCCTCTATGGCAGGCAGAGCCTGGAGCTTGGGAGGCTGTAAGCAAGCAGGGAGCATAGGGAGGAAAATCCCCAGGCAGGAGTGCTGGAGGTCCCAGGTGAGACAGAGATGAGAAGTGCCTGGGGAATGCAGGGTGCACACAGCAATTTGGGGCAGTACAATCCTGACAGGGAGACACATACTACCTCCTTCCCTAGGGTCTGTTCACCTTGGCTCAAGAGTCAGGGAGGAGCTGGGCGTTGATGGTAAAGCTCCCCGTTACTGGACAAGCTGGAATAAAGCTGTGGCTGCCAGGAAGTGTGGCTGAACTGGCGAGAGCGGGAAGGATGAAGGGAAGATGAGCTCCTAAACACAAAGACGTGTCCTCCACATTTTAGCTGAGCAATAAAATTAGACAAGTGCAGTTGGGTGAACAGCAGAAAGGTCCTGACATTTCAGAAATCCTTTGCTGTTTTGTGTTTAATCAATCTGTACTAAGCCTCAAATATGAAAAGAAGTACTTAGGGCAAAGGTGAATTTCATTTTAAGAGTAAATTGCTTTGATGATTGTCGATTTGCCAAGATCTTTTCAGCACAGAAATGGTATTATTTCCCAGGCTCCCAGCATGGTCCTAAAGGTCACAACTCACAACAACTCTCTTCCTATTGTTCTTACAATAAAAGCTACAAACACAAGATGTTGCTGCTGCTTCTCAGTACCACTAGATAAAAAACGTCTCAACAATATAAGTTTTTTCATGTTCCTGGAGCTTTATTGTAAAGGTGTAATGAAAATGGACCATGAAAAACTCATTGCCATTTTGCAAGATGCCTATTTCACTTGGATTTATCTCCCTTCCCTTCTCTATGCAGTAGAGTTCATGCTCCTTCCCAAACCATTCCCATTACTTCTAAGTGAGAACTTCTGCCCCTTATTCACAGTGAAGTCTCTCCAAATTCTTTTCATGAAATACACTACAACTACAGTTTTGTGGAAACTGGTGTAATGGAGAGAGGCACGTCCTCACCAGGCATTTAAATCAAGAACAGTAAGATTTGTGTGGGTGCCGAACTGACCTCTAGTGGCACCTACACAATAAACTTATGTCCGTTTCGGTCTGTTTTTTTTTTTTTTTTTTTTTTCCAACTATCGGCAGGTAGACTATGAAGTATCATCACAGAATATTCCACAGCGGAGGTGTGTCAGCATTTTGGGGTCTGCTGCGAACTGACAGAACTTAGGCAGCGCGCACTCTGTGGGTACAGCTTCCCACGGGGCAAACCGGCTGAGCGCACAGTGACTCCGCCGTGTTTGCTGGACCACACCGGACGGTGGGAGCCCAGCCGCTGCACGGACAGTGCCATCACCCGGGAACACCGCGCCAGCGCGGACCCAGCGCAGCCTTCTCGCCAAGAGGTGCCAGCACCTCCCGTTCCCAAGAGCTGTGCCCAGGCGAGGCCGCCGAGGCCCATCCCCGCATGGCCGAGCCGCTCCGTGCCCCGGCCCGCCCCGGCCCGGCCCGCCCAACCGCCGGTCCCGGCCGTGCGCCTGCGCCGCGCCCGCGCGCTGCCGCGGCCCCGCCGGCCGCCCGGCTGGGAGGGAGGCGGCCGCCGCCGCTCTCCCGCAGCCTGCGCATGAGCGCCGCATCGCGCCTCCCGCCCTGCCCTCCTCTCCCTCCTCCTCCTCCTCCTCCTCCCGCTCCTTCTGCTCCAGCGCCGCGAGGGCCCGGCCGCCGCTCCGCGCCCCGCCCCGCCCCGGGAATGCGCTGCTCGGCGGCCGCTCGTAGGAGCTGCGCGGCGGGCGGGGAGCGGGATGGAGGTGGAGGAGGCGTTCCCGCTGGTGGGGCAGATGGGCCCCTATCAGGTGTACCTGTGCGTCCTGCTGGCCGTGCTCCTCCAGGTGAGAGGCCGCCCTTCCCGCCCGCTCTTGTCCCGAGGGGCAGCAGTGCCGGGAGGGGGATGCTCTGGGTGCGCTGGACAGCTGTTCCCAAAGTGCCGGGTGGATGTCCCTGCGGTGAGTGCTGCCCGCTGCGAAGCTGGTGTGGGAGGGCTTCTGCTGAGAGCTGCTGGTGGCACTAACAAGTCTTCCCCTCTGGGTCTGTCCTGCAGCAGCGTGCTGCGCTCCTGGGACCCTTGGTGTCGTGGTGACCTCTGCCCAAAGGCAGCGCTCAGTTCTGCAGAGTGAATTTGGGGCAGGCAGCTGATGCTCTCTGTGCCGCATTTCCTGGGCGGTTACACCTTGTGCCACTCGTGGAGCACATTAGGAGCTGCTCAGGTGAAGGGCTGGCTGAGGTTGAACTGAAGTTTCCGTGACCTGGACTGGAAGACGTGGACTTCTGTAAGAGGCTCTGCTGGGAATCCTGTGCAACCTAGAGTTAGTGGACTAGACTAGGTATTTCTAGGTTGCATGTGGCTTGATTTTCACTGATAAAGTGACAGGTGGCCACTGATACCTCTGTGTGCAGAAGCTCTCATGTAAGCAGCTGACAGGTGATGTTTGCTTATGGTGTTTTGATTTGCCCTGCCTTAACTCCTAGAATAGAGGGGCAGTGTCTCTCCATTAGGTATTGGATGAGGCCCTGCATTTTGGGTGGTCAGGTTTGTGAAATACAAAGCTGCAACTCTCTTAAGTTTCATGATAAAAGTGGAGTCCAAAGTAAGCAGTAGAGTGCTGGAAGAGAACATTCTTCTAGTGCTCTAGAAGAGACAGACTCTCTCTGGAGGGAGAGTTTCAGAGACTGCATGTGCAAATGATTGCTCTGCAGCTGTGTTTGTTGCCTTTCAGTTTTGATTCATCTTTGTGCATATTCCTGTGAGGACAGTGAAGGAAGACAAGAATAATACGTGTAGCGTCACAGTCACGTGTAGGACTGAAGTATGGTATGAATCTCACAGAAGTCTGGTTTACCCCATGTTAGCATCACAAACTTCATTGTCATGAATTCAGCTAGGCTGACAGGTGCTGGCTTACTTCCACTGTGGAAATTTAATAGTTGCAGGAAGGAAGAGGGGAACATAAATGTCCTCCTTTCTCTGCTGACCCATATTTTGTACTAATCAAGAACTTCAGTCATGGGCTGTGACACTGAAGATGTCTTCTCCTGGCAACCCCTACTTCCCCTAGACTGACCAAAATATTCAGAACCTTTATGAGATGACCAAAGAAAAGTGAGATGCCCATACCTGTTGGATGGGAACTCTATACTTGATTGCAAAGTTATGATAAACAGCAAAAGCTATGTAGGTTTCTATTTCCTTGTACTTTTTTTTTTCTTTTGTACTGATTATACTTTCTTTTATAGCTGATTTATTCCTTAAAATTAGGCATTGATTGTTCTGCTGGCCAGCTGGCTAGAAAATGTATATATTCACTGAAGATTAAGAATTAAGGAAGCAATAGTTACTTCTTCTAGTGCTGGTCATGTTCTGGAATGAACTGCAAACCATGACAAGTGCTCTGTGTTTCCAGAATTTTTAGTATGGGTCATCTGTTCTGTAATGTTTGTGTTTGTTTTGTTTTTAATGGATTAAATTGCATGGGAGAAATAAACAGAAGGATCTTTGCAAATCCTGGAACAAATTCATAATAACTGAATAAGGCATAATAGCAGGTTAGCAGGTCTGCTTTTTTTCTTCTTATCTTTAATTCTTGAGCTGTGCCAATGAGTATCATTCTCTGACTGGTAAGCTTTCTTTACTTCAGATCATGCAGGCACAGGAGTCTGTAAGGAGTTTAGATGTGAAGCTTGTTGTCTTTTAGTTCATGAGTAGATGTGGATTTATTCATCTGGTTCCTGCTTGGGTGGTTGATTGCTTTTTGTGTTCCTTTATTGGTGCCAAGTTACATAATGTGTCACTGGGATGTGCGAGAGCAAGAATGAAGGCAGGTTCCACGACTGCTGTTAATCTTTTGTCTTGTTTATCATCCTTTGGAGAATGGACCTCAAGGTAAGTAATATCTCTTGTGTGTATGTGATGTAGAATGTAGATCAAGGTAATTATGGGCTCCTGTAGTGGATTAGATGCAGCACTTGGCAGCAGAATGAGAGCTCCTGGTAGTCTATATCACTGGCTGTGCCATGATTATTCCATTTTGTTGCTAGTTTCCCTGTCCATTTCCATGTGCTCCCTCAGCTGGCCTATATTTTTATGTTGGCCTGTTGATATAAAATTATTTCTGTATTTTTAAAGGTAAGAATACCCAATGCGTGAAAAATATTTGTCTGCTGTGTCCCTTCATCTTTGTAGCCAATATCCAGAGCTTAGACTGTGCTTTTCCTTCCCAGTTAGATTCCCAGCAGGTGCACTTGCTTTCCTTGTAGGCTTTTATGCTTTTGCATCTCTGCATGTTATTAATCTCCTTGAGTTTCATACTTTATAAGTATTTTCCTTCCTTTTAGTGTTTTTTTTTTAAATACAAATTTCTACAGTAAGCTCCTTCCACCAGGTAGCCTTAGTGATACGCCAGTGTATCTGGTCTCTAAATTCTAATCACAGACATAGTTCAGTTCACAGAACTTTGAGTCAAGCTCTACCAAACACTTCTGGCTGTAGGGGTGAGACTTTCCACTTGAGTCAATTTTCAGGTACTTGATATGAGGAATGAGCTTACTGGCATTCTGGCAAAAACCTCCAGGTTGTTTCTAATTAGAAAAATGTTTTTTTTTATGTTATCAATATAAAACTAGGTTAAGTGTGAGTCTTGTGGTCTTCTTTCGTCCTCCCTGATTTCTCTTATTCCTCTGCTACCTGCTGCTCTTACACATTAACCTGCTGAGTTGTTACTATATCAAGGTATGCCCGGTTTATTCACTACCAAGTTAATAGAAATTTGGAAGATTTTTAGGCATATTCTGTAGCAATGGTTGCTAACTTTATAATGGACTAACAACAGCTGACTGACAATAGAGAAATGCTTTTGCAAATGACATGGAATTACAGAAAGACTTATGTGAAGAATGTGAATATTGACTAATGATGTGAAATTAAGGCTGGATTAGTCTTGCATTGCTAGTGTATCTTTAAGAAAGTGAGGAAGACACAAAGGGAGCTGATAACTCTTAAAATACTTAGGACTTTATTTTGAGCTTTAAGTACTTGATACGTGTTGATTACTGGAAAGGTTGTCGCAACCTTTTGAAGAAATTATGCTCAAGTACTATTAAAGAATAGTCTTTTGGTGTTTAGCGTGTGCAGCAACATGAAACAAAATCACACACCTTGATCAGATGCTTGAGAGCACACACATACTTAAAAAGTTTCTTTGTCTCTTGTGGTTCAGCATATCTGGTTGAACGAGTCTGGCCTGTGCTGGTGAATTGGAGCTACAGGATTGCCCAAGCCCAAACTGAGAATGGAAATGTGCTCTTACTGTATTGCTACTGAAAGGCTTTAAAAAATGGTAAAATTAAAAAGGGAGTTCTTGTTTGCACAGCTGAAAAAGGTTTTGCTTTAAGTTGAGGAATGTGCATTGCACAGTAATATGGATAATTTCCAAGGGTGGTTGTTCCCATCCATCTTAGGAACTCCTTACTAACTGAAGGGAGGATGTAAAAACAGTTAAGATAGTTACATCAAGTTGCTTGAATTATACCTTTGCCTTAAACTGTGTGTGATGCATTGCAACTGTAATGAGTGGTGTTGCTAACATCACTTTATTGTTGACAACAATATAATGTATGACTTACGTCATTACAGTATCCAGTGCAGAAAGATGGTTTTTAATCATCCCATCTGCCCAAATGTTTTGAAGGAAAGCACATTCTGGGGCATGTGGTTTAGGTAAGGCAGATTAATTCCAAATCTCTAGAAATAATTCAGAAGAAATAATGTCTGTCTGCAGACAGCATGAAGATGTGATTACCTATGTATTCTTGCTTAACTGTTTCTTGACATTTCTTATCTATGCCCTGTTCGTAATCTACCTCTTTTAATGTCATGAGGCATCGCTCTGTAGTTGCAATGACAATAATGAAATACTTGGTCAATGAATCTTCTTTTAATACTTACATTTGCTTTTACACTTTACTTTGAACCAACCAGAATTGATCATACATTGAACAACATAATCCCAGACCTTGATGATGTATACTATTTGGACTTTATCTGAATAGGAAGAGCAAAACAATTTGGAAATGCAATGAACAATTTAAAGTTAAGAAAGGAGAGGGATATTTCACAAATGGCATTACAACTCTGCTATAGTGTGCTGCAGTTTTTCCGTGGGCATAATGACAGGTATGGTGTTTACCCAAAGTTACTTGCACTGTAACTTAGACACAGGTCAAGTACAAGTGTCTGTAAGGTAAGTGAGCAAGGTAGCAGATGTAAAAAGAATTTTCAGAATTTCTATGTAATAGTTTTTGAGTTTGATTACCTCAATGTTTGGGGTTTTTTCTCTATGTGGGAGAAGTATGAGTTTTAAGTCTCTCCGATTCTCAATGAAGCAGTTGAAGAGTGTGTGCCAGACATGTGCAACCACTTCCATGGAGGAGAGGTTTCAAATGTGGCATGAATATGGATATAAAAAGTAGGGACACAAATATTTTTCTTGTGGAAAGCTTTGTATCCCCATGTATTTTTGTGCATTGTATCTTACTCAGAACATGTTTATGCTGAAGGATGGTGATGCTTTCCATATAAATAAGATGAATGCTTTTAAAGTACATGCATCACTAAATATAAATCCTTGTTCTGATATAGCATACTCCTATTTGGGAGGACAAATAAATGAGGTGGGTGTGAATATATAAGCTATTGATGCATAAAGATGTGCCACTACTCATTTAGCTAAGAATATTTCCATCTGAAAGTTGATAGAACTACTAAATGAAGGCAAATCCTATCATTTACTTCAGTTGGATGGGGGAAATATTTCAAGAAAAAGAAGTAATTCTTCACGTGTGACATTTGATTTCAGTGGTGCTGATGAACAATCCTTTGTCTCTTTGTC